ATTATTTCATTCTTTTTGATGGCTGAAGAGTATTCCATAGTGTGTATATGCCACATTTTAATTATCCACTGATTGGTGGATGGGCATTTAGGGTGATTCCACATCTTTGCAATTGCTAGTTGTGCTGTGATGAACATGCAGGTGCAGGTATCTTTTTCATATAACAAACTCTGTTCCTTAGGGTAGACACCTTGTCGTGGGATTGCTGGATCAAATGGTAGATCTATTTTCAGTTCTTTAAGAAATCTCCATACCGATTTCCACAGAGATTGTGCTAAGTTGCAGTCCTACCAGTGTGCACGAGTGTTCCCTTTTCTCTGTTTCTGTGCCAGCATCTATTGTTTTTTTATTTTTTAATAATGGCCATTCTGATTGGTGTAAGGTGACATCTCATTGTGGTTTTAATTTGCATTTCCCTGATAAAGAGTGAGGTTGAGCATTTTTTCATGTTTGTTGGCCATTTGTATATCTTATTTTGAGAGATGTCTGTTCATGCCATTTGCCCATTTTTTAACAGGGTTATTTGCCTTTTTTCTTGCTGATCTGCTTGAGTTCTTTGTAGATCCTGGATATTAGTCCTTTGTCAGATGCATAGTTTGCAAATACCTTCTCCCATTCTGTCAGTTGCCTATTTGCTCCGTTGGTTATTTCTTTTGCTGGGCAAAACATGTTTAATTTTGATGAAGTCCAATTTATCTATTTTTTGTTGTGACCCAAAATGTGTGTGATATCTAAGAATCTATCACCAAATCCAAGGTTATGAAGAGCAGAGACTGGTTGTACATGGCTTCCATGTCTTCTTCTAAGAGTTTTATAGTTTTAGCTCTTATATTTTCATCATAGGTCCATTCTGAATTAATTTTTGTAAATGATGTGAAATAGGGATTCAGCTTCACTCTTTTACATGTGGAATTCCTTTTGTTCAAATACCTTCTCCCCACATTCACTTTAATTTAGATCGGATGTTTGGGAAAAATTTGCAACTTTCCAAAATTATTCCTGATACTGGAAATATCGAATATCTTACTTTCTGTAATGTTTGATTTATTGACTCTTCCAAATTAAATTCCTGTGAAATTAACTTTCTAAAGAGAAAGAAAAAATAGAATTGGGACATCAGGATTGGCAAGTGGAACTCTTAAAAAACTGGGAGTGATTCTTGGCAATTCAAGAAAATTTATAAATTAAAAATCCTTATTAAACATAAGGAGAGACTCTGGAATCAGTATTAAGAGACTAAAAACAGCCAGGCATGGTGGCTCACACCTGTAAACCCAGCACATTGGGAGGCTGAGTTGGGAGGATCGTCTGAGCCCCAGGGTCCAAGACCAGCCTGGGTAATATAGTGAGGCCTCTTTTCTACAAAAAAATTAAACAATTAGCTGGGCGTGGTGGCACATACCTGTAATCCCAGTGACTTGGGGAGGCTGATCTGGGAGGGTTGCTTGAACCCAGGAGTTCAAGTTTGTGGTGAGCTGTGATCATGCCACTGTCCTCCAGCCTGGGTGACATACTCAAAAAACCACTCCCTGCCCCCCAAAAAGAGAGACTAAAAACATTGAGCTAATGACTTCACTGTCTCCAAATGCTTAAAAGTCTATTACATGGAGATTCCCGACTGTTTTCTAGCTTTGCAGGAACAAAACTGGAGACAAAAATGTATTCAACTTACATTAAATACATTGACTATGTATTAAATTATGGGCAATTAAATGAAATATGGATCAAATTTATGAAGTGGGAAGATTTCACTTTGACACCAAGAAAAAGTTTTCAAAGGTGAAATAAGAAAATAATCACGATAAAGCTTATTGAGCACCTATCATGTGTCAGAACCTGTTGTGAGGGCTTTACACATATTTACTTGTGAAAACCACACAAGCACCATGAGGTAATTGCATTACCATCACAGATGAGCTTGGACCTCAATCCATGGAGTCCAACACTGTGCTCGGGCCTTCATCCATTCTGCTAAACCACCTGGGTTCTAAGTGAACTAACATCAGAACACCCCTGCTCCACCAGAAAAGCCATTGTCTTTCTGTCAGCAGAAAATTTGAAAACAAGATAGGCATTTATCTGTCTAATAAAAGCCATATCCTGACATTTGATGGCATCGGTCCTCTAATCCTATTCAAAGATCAGTTCTTTCTTACTGCTGTTCTTTTAGCAATACGGTCCCTTACCTTCCTCCTTTCTCTAAAATGCCCAACATGGTACTTTCAAATGTTTTGTAACATTACAAAAATATCCTCTTGCATAATATGGACAAATGCCCAATGAAACATGTTATAGGGAAACGTAATATCTTTTTTTAAAAAAAATCTTTGGGGCTTTGTTTTAATAATTCATAAAGACGTTAACCTTCTAGGTGGATTAAGAATCCTTTTTATTTTATACAATTTTGTTTGTGTTCTGAAAACCAGGGACATTGAAGTATTATTCTCTGCTGAATAGAGCATTGTGTACATGTATCTTTGTTTTCCCTGAAAAAATACCTCTTAACTTTTATGTGTCTTCTCAGGGATCTAGTGTGTGGGCTTACTCCATATTGTTCCCTCTATAAAAAATGTTGTGACGTGCTCCAACAGGCATGCTGTTTTAAAATATCACAATTTTCTTAACCCTTTGGTTAAGAACCCCTCACACTGCCATTTCCATGATTCTCTTCTGGCTGATCCTATGGAGAAAACAAGAAGTAATTAATTTTTGTAATAGGAGCCAGGATCTGAAAGGGCAAGGTTTTCACCTGAGAAATTACAAAGTTCTAGCCCACATCTACTGGTTGTGGTAGGAAGTTAAAGCAGTGGTTGTTAACTAGGGAGATTTTGCCCCTTCTCTCCAGGGGAAGTTTGGACATGTCTAGAGACATATTTTGTTGTCACAAATGGTGGGGGAGGGGGTTTACTACTGGCAACTAGCTGCTAGAGGCCAGAGACACTGCTGAACATCCAGCAGGACAGTTGCTGAAACCAAAGAATTATCCAACCCAAAATGTCAGTGATATCAGTGTGGAAAAATCTTGTTTCAGAGTGATGGGAACTGGACCTGAACCCTGTTGTGCATCTTATTTTGTGACCTTGGGAAAGTGGCTTCTTTTCTCAGAATCTTCTTTCTCATTTGAAAGAACAAAACAACCACCACTATAAAACAAGTAAACAAAAAGACAAACATAAAACAAAAAACAACTTTCAGCATGGTTGTGAGAGACCAACTCAAAAGCATTGAACAGGGTGCTGTGCATATGATGGGCCCAACAAACAAAAGTCAGGATCCATCCTACAGAGTCCAGTATGACATGGTGGAAAGTGCCAGAAAGACAACGTCATGGAAATGGAAAAGAAGACTTTCCAGATTCTTATGAGCTTTCATAAGGAAAAGTATAAGAGATGGAGAGATGTGTAAGAGAATTAAGCAGCACTGAGGATGTCCTAGGAGGGACAGGGAGGAGATGTTGGGACTGGAAATAGAAAGTAGCGGGAGGGAAGCAGGGGTGAGAGAGATTCCAGACATGACTTGGAGAGGAACTTGAGCTATGTTTAGGACAAATCCGAAGAACTTGGTAGGCAATTAAAAAGGGTCATGAGAGAGGAGTCTAGACTGAGCATAAGATTTCGGACTTGGATGCTTGAGTGTTGGTGATGCCATTCAATGAAATGAAAGGGCAGTGAAGAGAATGGATTTGACTGTAGACTTGCCAAGTTTGGGATGTCTGTGGTACATTTAGACGATCCCACGCGGCCGTGAGATATGGAAGTCAGGGGAGGAGCCAAAGATTTCAGGAACCTGAAAACAGCTGCTGAATCCATAGGAATGAATGGGATTTTCTAGGGAGTGCACAGAGAGTGAGAAATGAGTGGAAGACAGAACTCTTAGGAGCTGGACACAGCAACGACTAGGCAGAGCAGAGCAACAGGAAGAGAAGGTGGAGTCATGTGGAACCCAAGGCTGAAAGAGCGTCAACAACCCTGCAGGCAACAGTGTCAAATGTCGCAGGAAAATTGCATAAAATCCAGCGTCCAGAAGGTTTGGCGTGTTGAATGGTAGTGCTGACTTTAGCATGAAATGTTAACTACAGCGATGAGCAGAATAACTAGACTCAGTGAGTTGAGTAAATAACAGTTGGGGACATAGAAATAAGAAAGGAAGATGGACTGTCAGAAAGAGAAACTAATGAAGATTATCCCTCTACCCCCCTAAACAGACAATACATAAGCCTATTTGTATGCTGAGGGGAAGGGGACAGTAGAAGTTGAAGATTCAGAATATGGAACAGGGAAGATATATTGATCAAGACTGGGATGGAGAGCTGAAATAATTATTTTGAGGCAAGAAGAGGGAGCCCTTTCCCTCCACACTGAGTAAAGCAGTTAAGTTTGAGGTGGATGCCAGTCTGGAGGGTGAGGGAGCAGAGCAAGTTCATCTCTGAGAGCTTCACTTTTCACTATCAAATTGTAGGCAAGTTCAACTGCTGATATGGGATATGAGAACTAACAGGAGGTGGAGGCAGGGAATAACCCTTACGGATGTGGGAAGGGCATTAAAAAAGTAGTGTATAAAGACTACAACTTCAACAACCTGGCATTTAAAGGATATCTCAAAGGATATCTCAAGGTACCAGGGTCACTCGGGATTTATATCTAATTCCAGATCAGTAACATAACCCACTTCTCTTTAGAGTTAAGCAACAAACTAGAAAGATCTTGCGAACCCCACAATTGTTTGAAAATGGGATAGTGTGTGAGGGTGGATGGCCAAGCAAATTTTAAATGAAAGTGGGCATGGGATCCATGATGCCCATGGACCCATCGTGTTATCTTTGTATAAAAGATAACATATCCTATGGGAATCTTAGAGAGCCATAAACATTCAGAGTGTCTATAATGCAGAAATTGGCATTTACTTCCCATAATCCCTCAAACAAGATAGAAGAAACTATCAATAAAAGAGAAAGAAATTGTTTTCTTTTGCAGAGCCTTGCCTCCTTTTGAGACTACATCATGAGTTGGACATTCCCCCGAGGCCTCCTAGGTGGAGTAAATAAATACTCAACAGGGATTGGGCGAATCTGGCTGGTTGTCATGTTCGTCTTCCGTGTACTGCTCTACGTGGTGCCAGCAAAGCAGGTGTGGAAAGACGAGCAGAAAGAGTTCGAGTGTAACATTGGACAGCCTGGCTGTGAAAATGTGTGTTTTGACTACTTTTTCCCCATCTCCCAGGGCAGACTTTGGGCCCTACAGCTCATCATGGTCTCCACGCCTTCACTTTTGGTGGTTCTACATGAAGTCTACTGTGAGAATAGAGAGCTAAGGCACCAAAAGAAACTCTATGTCAGCCCGGGTACAATGGATGGCGGCCTACGGTACAGTTACCTCATCAGCCTCATGGTTAAAATTGGTCTTGAAATTGGCTTCCTTGCTTTGTTTTATAAACTGTACCATGGCTTCAGTGTTCCCTACCTTATGAAGTGTGCCGTGAAACCCTGCCCCAACACTGTGGACTGCTTCATCCCCAAACCCACTGAGAAGACGATCTTTATCCTCTTCTTGGTCATTACCTCATGCTTGTGCACTGTGTTGACTGTCGCTGAACTGAGCTTTTTGGTCCTTAAGTGCTTTATGAAGTGCTGTCCCCCAAACTCAAGTCCTCTGTGTGTGTGTGCCGCAGCCTCAGGTGCATTGGATGTGGTGAGACAGGGGCCCCTTCCCTGCTCCAGAACCACCATTCAGACTTGGCCATGAACACATCCCAGTGACCTGAAGCAAAGCTACTTTGTGGTTAAATAAAGAAAATCGGCATTCCCCTTCAGCAAGACCTAAGCTGAGTTGGAAGACAAAGGGTGCCTGCCTTCATATCATTTGGGATGAATTGTTAAGAAATGGTCAGTGTGCTGTCAATTGTAAACACTAGACAGAGGTCTTATTGTTTTGTTGTCTGGTTTTCCAGTGTGTAGATATATGTTGTTTTTGAACAGTTAAGTGCACATTAGTCTGAAGAAATCTAACTCACAGCATTCTTTTAAGAGCTTAGACCTGACTGGGTGCGATGGCTCAAGCCTGTAATCCCAGCACTTTGGGAGCCTGAGGGGAGGGAATTGCCTGAGCCCACGGGTTCAAGAACAGCCTGGGCTACTTGGCCAGATCTCAAAGCTACACAATAAATCAAAAAATTAGCTGGGCCTGGTAGCACACACCTATAGTTCCAGCTACCTGGAAAGTGGAGGCGGAAGGATGGCCTGAGACCAGCAGGTTGACGCTGGGGTGGCGATGAGTGTGTTACTGCACTCTAGCCTGGGTGATGGAGTGAGACTCCAACTCAAAAAAAAAAAAAAGCGTCGACCTGTTAGAAAAGAAAGAAACGCTGTCAGTTTTCTATTTATTGTAACTGTCTAATTACAATTTATGTACAGTGAACTGGGAAATATAAAAAGTGATATTTCTGACAAATGTGATGGCCTCCAAGCTGAAAGTGGCAGCCAAGCTCCACTCACGCAGTCATATGCAATCCTTGCAGAGAAAGACTCCAGGGCAGGACAGGGTAGCAGCCACCTGGAGGCCTCTTACCAGTTTGGACATCCTTGGAGATAAGTGGACTAGGGAAGGGGGAAAATAGCCATCATTTTAGAGATCTCCAAATGAAGCACAAACTTAACTAGGAGATATCCTACTTAGGCCTGAACCAGCTGACACTGGAAAGGGTTACTGCAGAGTTATGGGGAATGTAGGTCCCACAGAAAGCAGCACATTGATCTGCAGCACAGAGGCCATCCAAAAGGACAGGCCCACTTGATAATTAGTTAACACTTCTCTTTAACCATAAGAACATCAGAATACTTTGTGTTAATTTCCTTGGTCCTTTTATAATCAGGGATACACAATATGTCACAGTTCACCTACAATTTGCTGAAGCATCTCCTGCTAGGACAGATATAGTAAGATACATATTATGTTGTTACAGTGGTGCAAAAAATGTAAAAAAAAAAAAAAAGGTATTATCACTTGAAGAGTAAAACTTTGTTTTACTTTTCTATTAAAAAAATTCACAGATACATAGTTTGGATTTAATATTCTACCTGTGAAGTTCTCTAGAATAAAAATGAAGGTGTCTTGCAATGCTCTTTGGCTGTCATTGATATCTCTACTTGACGGCACTAGGTATGATTATTCTGCGAAATAAAACTTATTCTGACAATTTTAGAATAGGATTTACAAAGCTGCTTGGTAACAATAACTCAGAAAGTACTTTTTCCCCCTGGGAATTTCGTAACAGGAAGTCTGTGCATAAAAATGTAATTTTAGGCCGGAATTGGTGGCTTAGCCTGTAATCCCAGTGCTTTGGGAGGCTGAGGTGAGTGGATTGCCTGTTCGAGACCCAACTGGGCAACTTGGCGAGACCTCATCTCTGCAATAAATAAAAAATTAGCCAAGTGTGGTAGCGCACACAGCTACTTGGAAGGCTGACGCGGAAGGATCTCCGGAGCCCAGCAGGTCGAGGCTGCGGTGGCCAGGAGTGGCCACTGCACTCCAGTCTGGGCGACAGAGGGAGACTCCAACTCAAAAAAAAAAAAAAATTTAACTAAAACCAATTATGTCATGTGTTCCATGCCCTGCCCTCATTACAGTTCATGCACAATGAAGGTTATTTGGTTCAACACGCGGTCTACAGACCATGTCACCAACAGTGGTCATAATCTCTATCTTAACAACTATGATCCAGACAACAAAGAAAAAGGTGACTTTTGTGCCTTTTCTTTTCTTCAATTTATTTCATAGATCGCTGGTGTACCTAAGAACTTACACCCACGCACTTTGCCATCTGCATGAAAACATCTAGCCTTCACAAATGCAAGTTACCACAGATCTTTTTCTGTTTTTTGACAGTGATAGGTGGCTAAAGAGATTTTAGGTTTTTGAGTTACTTAGGTTCTGAGCATGGTACAGAATCTAGAAAACAGGACCTCAGGGTGCAGAATTGAAATGGAGCCAAAGGACTTTTTCAGTCTGGGGATGAGTTTGATGCCACAAAGGTTTTGGGGGAGCTCAGCCTTTTTACATCTGTTATGGCAAGGTCTGCCCAAGTGAAGAAGTCAGATGGCCTGGACATGGACATTCCTTACATCTCCACCTCGCCTAGAGATGAAACTGAGAGGTGATGTGAACAAGGCCAATGGAAACAAAGATGTTTAAGCAGGAAGCTGAGTGATGCCTTTACTCCTTGACACTTGTTGTTAGTACCTTAATTTACAAAATGAGCTTCCTATGAGAACAATTTGACAGCTTTCTTAGGGTCAGTGAAGACTCAAAGTATTTGAGAGAAATTGGCAGTTAATTTTACCATCTTTATTGTTGCTCTTAACAAATTAATAGCACCTGGGAGCCAGACACCGCGCTATGTACCTTCCAAGATGTAACGCATAATTCCTGCTGATGAAAATGTCCACTGCTTTCAGGCTCTTCAAGGGTGTAGTTTCTATCACTGTGTCCTGCTCTCACAGACTCACCTCACCTGGTCCACCCTGAAACTTTCTGGGTCCATCGAGCAGGCAGTGGCCTCAGAGATCAGGAAAGGTAGTCACTTTTTCCAGGGACATGCAGTTAATTAAGGCAGGGCAAGCAACCAATCACAGGTTTTCCTCAAACCCTTTTCTCAACACACCAGGCCTCGCAGATCACTTAACAGAGGTCTCCCTCAAGCGGCTCCTGACTTGCAGTGATTGACTGTTCAGCATTTTTCCTCCCCACTTTCTGGTTACAGATCTTGCTCCTGGGCACAGGTTTTCTTCTCATCAGAGCTGGTGGGACTTTTTTTTTCAACGACCTGTACAAAAGAATGCCCAGATCTGCATGTGGCTACAGTTCTAATTTTCCAATTAAAAAAAAAAAGTTAACTAAATCATCAATACCCTGTTACTAAAAGATGTATTAATCACTAGGCTAGCCAAGAGCTTTCATTTTTTTTTTATTTTTTGAGTTGGAGTCTCACTCTGTCACCCAGACTGGTGTGCAGTGCCACTCCCGGCCACCGCGGCCTTGACCTGCTGGGCTCCGGCGATCCTTCCGCCTCAGCCTCCCGAGTAGCTGGAATTACAGGCATGCGCTACCACGCCCGGCTGATTTTTTTTTAATTTATTGTAGAGATGAGGTCTCGCTGCCCAGGCGGTTCTTGAACCCGCAGGCTCAGGCAATCCACTCACCTCAGCCTCCTAAAGGCGCGGGATTACAGGCTGAACCACCGAGCCCAGCTAGAGCTTTCATTTTAAAAGGATTTATCTCAAGGCAAAGTGCAGTAACTTGAGATTTGACTTGATGTGGAAGGTAAGCAAACCTGATAAACCAATATTCTAAGAGCAGATTGCTGCTCATTGTATTAATTTGATGATGTCATTAAAAACTACTGACTGTGACTAAGGTCAAACAAAGGCTTTGTCTTATTCATCTCTCTATATCCCTGTATCCCCGCAACTTAAGGTCCCTGGTACTTAGGAGCTCAAAGCCTCTTGGAAAAAAGCTTTGTATCCCTTTTACCACTGCTATCTCTCATCTGCCCACTGTTTTCTCCTCTCCAACTGAAAGGATCTGATTTTGTTGGGGATGGAAACATGCCTAGCTAAAAAGGTGCATATTTCGGTCTCTTTTGTCTGTAGAGGTAGCCGTGTGACTATCTTCTTGCCAAAGCAACAAGAGTTTTTTTGGCTAGTGTTTTGGGAAAAGTCACTGAAAAAGTGCAGCTGGCCTGTCTTATCCATCCTCCTCCCCTTCCAGTGACACATCCCATCGTAGCCAGGGATAGGACGCAGAGAGTATCTTTCTGCCAGCAAGTGACTTTGAGAATGGACATGAGAACTTATGAAGAAGCAAGGTGGGCTCCTGGAAGACACTGGTGCTAATTATGGAATTGCCTCTCAGCTCTGAACTGCCTGTCTCCTACCATCTGCCTGTTATTCTGTGAGAGACAACGTAACTCCTACCTGATATGTCATGGCCTTGTTGATCTTTCACTTACAGCCCAAAACGGTTCCTAAGTACATTCATATCAGTGACTAGGATAAAGTCAGAGGCATGCCTGTAGCTACCAAAGACAGAATAAATGCCTAGATGTTGAATGCCAGGATTGAAACATGATTTTAAAAAATTGTACCAGGGTAGAATTTTGTTCAGAATAAGTCAGATGAAATGCAACAAGTAAAAATTAAGCACAAAGATTTTAGATTTCAATATGAGGTCAAGACATATTAGTTCATGACATAAAGTCCTTGGAGTTTTAGTTGTTCACCACCTTAACATGAGCAAAGCGTACTATAAAACCCTGCCCCTTTAAAAAAAGTTAATTAAACTAGTATTAGTAAAGGTTTGTATCCAGACTATAGGGAAGTATTTTTCCAGTGCTTAAAAGACAAATAGCTTATTTCATATTCCAAAGTTGTAAAACCAGGATCAATGAGAGAAAATCAAAGAGTTTTCAAAATCCTAATATTGGAAAGTTTTATTAATTTGAACTGTCTCAATGAAATGATTGCCCAAAAAGTAGTGAGATGCCCAATATTGAAAGAGATGTTTAAGAATATTTTGGGTTGTATATGGTATAGTTAGGTAGCCTCCAATTTTTTTTTTTTTTTAATTGAGTTGGAATCTCACTCTGTTGCCCAGGCTGGAAAGCAGTGGCACGCTGTTATGGTCACCGTAGCCTCGACCTGCTGGGCTTAGGCAACCCTTCCGCTTCAGCCTTACACAAATTTATTTTCAAGCCTTCAGGATCCTATGGTTCTAGCACCTAGAATATATAGGGCAATAGCAAAATGAGGCCTTGTGTTGACTATATCACCATATAAACCCTAGTCCAAAGAAAGATTTCCGATGAACAAAATCACCTTTGAAAGCAGATTTCACGTATAATAACAGGACAGCTCAAAACATAAACAATGTAGGTAGTTCCATATTACTGGTGTAAATAGGATTTCTCTACCTTCTTTAAAATAATGACATTACAGTGACATACAAAGTACTTAATGTTTTATATTTCATTCTTTTCTCCATCTTGAGAAATTCTAATTTTAAGGCTGGCATCAAATATTTGTCAGAGAGCAAAATGTGATATAAAATGGGGATGAGTAATAATACATATCTCAGAGGGCTACGGTACAGATTGAATGAGGTAGTCCATGCAAAGCACTGGCACATAGAAGCTATTCAAAAAACGTTAGGTATTGTAACTAGCAATGCACAGCTTTATTGTATCATTTATCCCTAAGTGTATATAGATAAATATATATTGAGTTGGAGTCTAACTCTGATGCCCAGGCTGGAGTGCACCCTCAATATCCTGGGTTCAGGCAATCCTTCTGCCTCAATCTCCCGAGTAGCTGGGACTACAGGTGTGCACCACCATACCTTGCTAATTTTTTTTTTGGTGAAGACGAGGTCTCACTACGTTGCCCAGGCCGATCTTGAACTCCTGAGTTCAAGCAATCCTCCAACTTTGGCCTCCCAAAGTGCTGGGATTCCAGGCGTGAGCCACTGTGCCCGACCTACTCATCTCTGTATTAGTTGCACCCCCACCAAATTGTAAGCATTTTGAGGGGGTGGGGAGACAGGGTCTCTCTGTCACCTAGGCTGGAGTGCAGTGGCATGATCATCACTCACCCCAGCTTCGTCTCCTGGGCTCAGGTGATCCTCTGTCTCAGCCTCCTGAGTACCTGGTACGGCAGGTGTGTGCCACCACGCCCAGCTCACTTTTGATTTTTTGTAGAGAAGAGGTTTTGCTTTGTTGCCCAGGTTGCTCTTGAACTCCCGTTGTCTCCTGAAGTGCTGGGATGACACATGGGTCCCTTGAATAGACCCAGGTGGTGACACACAGGTGAAAACTCTGTCAGTTACAGTGAAGGCCAGCTAATTCCTTTCTTAGTTATAACTAAGATAACATTGATGTATGAAGAACTCAGAACGGGCTTTGATTCATGACTGCTTATAAAACATTACCTGTGGTTCTTCACTATGGAGGCAGAGCCAGTCCTCAGCCTGGCGTGAGTTGCTGCGCCCGGCCAAAACTGTATTTTGAATGCAGGCCAGAACTATGTCCTTCATCATTTTACCTTTCAGGGATGAACCCACAGCGGTTGCTCCGCCACAACCTTACAGTATAACTATAATGTATAAACTCAAGAGTTATGATATTCTGGAACTGGAAGAAATCTTAGGGATACTTACAAATGAGGTGACTTCAACCTAGACTTGCCCGATGTTATATGAAGTGATCACGCAAGAATCTAGTTATTTAAAAACTCTAAATTGTATTTCAGAAATTCTCTGTACATAATTCTTTCAAAATTCTTTGGAATATTGGCATATCCATGTAATAACCAATTGTGTTGCATTTTTTTTTTTTTTTTACCCTGTTTGAGAACTAAATATGTATAATCAAGGCAAGGTGTGTCTAGACTGTCTCCATGATGAAGGCTGGTCTATTTTATCCTAAAATGGATGAACAGCTAATGTGTCAGTCATCTCCCAATTTAAAAAACAAAACTGTACTTTAAGAACTTTAAGTTCTTTAAAAGTTCTTAAACTTTAACTTATGACCACCACATATTAACCCAAGTCCCTTAAGAAAAAATATAACAGGAAGGTCATCTCTGGTTCAATTTCCAGACCTTAACCATATATACACATTTCCAGTGTTAGCTTGCCATCTTGTGGTCTCTAATCCTGTGCAAGTCAGTAACCAACCACCACGCCAGGCAAGTTAGCCTATGAAATGGGTAAGCTTTATACACACACACGTCCACCTCTACACTTATTTTGTATGCAGCATGAAAGTTAACTGCACCTCTAATTTTCCTCCTGACCAACTCCAGCTACAAGTGAAGCAAATCGCCTAATTTTAAAAAATATGCTGAGAGACAAGCACTCAAAAAAAAATCTGAATATTTATTTATTGAATAGATTATGCATACATGTTTGATGAAAAGGAGCATATGTAACTTTTTGGATAAAGCCAATATGAACATGGCCTCTTACGAAGATGGGAAAGCAAGATAATAAAAGGACCTGAATGTAGATTTTGCCAAATAGTGACATGGTCTCTCTTACCACTCCAACAGGATATGGAAGTCACCTACAGTGTTTGCTTTCTTTGTTGAAGGTGTGTATGCACACATACATGCATACTATTGATTACTATCTACATTTTTCTTCAAGCAATGTTCTAGGATTGCTAACCTGACTCACCGAGAACACATGGGTCCCTTGAATAGACCCAGGTGGTGACACACAGGTGAAAACTCTGTCAGTTACAGTGAAGGCCAGCTAATTCCTTTCTTAGTTATAACTAAGATAACATTGATGTATGAAGAACTCAGAACGGGCTTTGATTCATGACTGCTTATAAAACATTACCTGTGGTTCTTCACTATGGAGGCAGAGCCAGTCCTCAGCCTGGTACTTCCCAAGCCTCTCTCCTGGGGCCTTTGAGCTTGGCTGGCACTTTGTAATTCGCTGAGGGCCCAACTGTGTGTATACGATGTGAAAACTCTGCAGGAGAATGCCCTTCGCTTCAGTGCTGTACTTCTAAGGAAAGCGGTCTACCAGATATAGAGAGAGAGAGTGA